AACTTCCATTTGCCTGCAGACATAGAGACGGACTAAGTGACTTCTGAAGTTTCTCAGGGTCAGATTGTGTGATCATAGTTTGGCACCCTATTGGAAGCATGCTGCTGCAATTGTGCCATCTAGTGGAAAAAGGCAGATATTGCACCATCAACCATCAGCCAGCCATCTCCACCTTAAAAGCTGGAGTAACCAGAGAGCTTAAAGGATGCCAAACACATGACAGCACGATGCTAAATGCTGCTCTCAGCATTACACTCTGCTAGAAGTCTCCAGGGTCTTCTCTAGTTCTGATATCTTCAGTTCCAATTTGGCGATTGTGTTAAAGAGATGATACTGTGGCCGTCACTGAGTGGGAAAGCTGGAAGAAAGGAGCAAGCCTGACTTAGGTCTTGACGGGTGAGAGTGATTTGAATGGGCAGAAAGAGGAGTGTACATGGCGGGGGAGGGAGGAACAAGATAGATTAAGAAGTTGTGGGGCAAGGAGGGAGGGGGAGGAGAAGGCAGAGTAGGGGAGCTAACGGAGGAGGAAGGGGTCAGCTGGCCGTGGCAAATGCTGTTGCTAGGAGACTGGGGCAAAGAAAGGAAGACCTTAGAAACTGACAGGAAGGTGTGGGAATGACCAGCAGGCCTTAGGAAGGTTTTTTAAGGGGAGAAATTTTATGAAATTGGCATTTTACGACTATTAATATCATGCTGTTGTTTCATAAATTAAACACTATACACAGAGGACAAGGAGAAAGGTAAACTGCTCCAGATTGGCAGGTGGCAGAGTTAACAAGCAAGGGAACTTACTTATGAGGCTTTATTGGGGCAACAGAAAGACAAGTAGATCTGTGCATCTGCCCACTGGAATCTTCAAAGTTTACATAGAGGCCGTAATGGGGTTCAGTCACATGTACGGTATAGACGGTCTCAACAACACATTGCTCTCTCAAAGTTGCATCCTTGAAACAGCTCCTAGTGTGGGAACGGTGGGCAGAGTGTACATTCCAATGACCAGGGGGAGAGTGAGAAGCCTTCAATTGCCTGGGTCCTGCTTGAGGGTCAACGAATGTTCACATCCTCTTGATGACCTCCTCTGGCATGTGTCATGCCACAGCCTTCAACTGGAGCGGGGAAACTAAAAGAAGAGCTGGGTTTTTGTTGTTATTCTCCCTACGTGATATTTGAAAATTCTTAAATGGGGATAATAACTCCTGCCTACTAAGCTGCTACACGAGAATGAGATGTGACGTGCTTAACAGTTCCCAGCAGTAGAAATGGTGGCTGAGCTGGAGCAGCCACCTTAGATGAACAGAGGTTACACACTACAATGCCACAAGGTAAAAGGAGACTTTGCGGTGGATGGCTGCCACGCCAGCTCTGAACTGCCACACTCAACTTCAGAGGGAGGGGAAAATGGACTTTTGTTTCTTTTAAGCCACTGCCTTTTGGTCTCCATAACTCACAGTCAAATATAATTGTAACTTATTGATACTGTGTTCAATAAACGTTGGCTCTTTTCTGTCACAGGATTACAAATAATTAATGTCTGTCTTCCCTCTACATTGTAAATTCCATGAGGGTAGGGACCGTATCTGTCTGGTTCAGTATATCCCCAAGGCCCAAGTCAGTGATGTACACACATCAGGTTGTCAGTAAGTGTCTACTGATCGAGTCCGTAGCCTCTGTCCATGCCCATCTTCTCTCCAGGCCTGGGCACTAACCTTAGGGTATCTTTTCCATTAACGTGTCGCTTAAGCCCATCAGCCAAGGAAAATCTCTATCATACCTCACTTCCTTCTGGTTCCTCTTCTTATAGATCCCTTGGAAATTATACTGCATGTTACATAGTTGTCCTGCTATTGTTATGCTATTTGAAGATCATTCTCTAGTTAGTCCCTTAATTGGACTGTAAGCTACTTGTGCAGGGATAAAAACTTTCAGTGTTTTGATCATGGAGAACCTTAACCACAATTCCTCACACATGCATAAAGTGGACAATAAATACTTCATGAAGGAAAAAACCTGACAAGGCCCCACCACTGAGGAGGAATATTGGCATTCGAGTTAGGGAGGGTGATTATTAAAAAGAAGAAATAAGTAAGGTCAAAAAGAGCAGTCAGAATGGTTGGGAGCGAGCAAGAGAGAAAAATCCCAAGAGCCTAACTTGGAAAAATTTTCAGAAGCAGGCTGGTGTGTTGAGAAATGAGAAAATACAGGATTCTGGGGTCCTGGACTTGACTTTCATTAGCTTTCACCTTAGATAAATCATGTCACCTCTAAAGATCTGTCTCATTTTATAATTGCATTTTTCTGGTCGTGCTCTAAGGAGCTGTTAGAAGCTCTAAGAAGCCAGAATCTAGCCCCTCGCCTCTTCAGCCAGAGAAGCTGTCCCCTTCAGCTTCATGCATTGGCTTTCCCATAGAATTTAGTTTGAGCAAAAGATGATGGAGCTAAAACAAAGTTTGAAAATCATTGGAGTTAAGGACCCCTCACAACTACATAAAGATAGCCTGTTTCATGATTCGACCTATTCACTCCCAAAGCTGAAGCCCCACCTCAAAGAAAAAATGGTACATGTAGACCCTGGTCTTGTCTTCCCAGACAGGCTTTAAACGCTGAGAAGGCCAAATTTAGGCTCGTGGTTTTCAGCTTCCCATGACAAGCTTACCGTTGGGGCTCATGGAACCTCAGCCTTGGCTGAATTCATAGATATTCCGCAAAGTTCTGTGGCCGGATGCGTTGACAGTCAGGGCAACAGGAAGGCTGGGAGAAGGAGTATCTCATCCACCTTGGGGAGTTCAGAGAGGTGTAAGGGGCCCCATCAGAAGTGACTGGGCCCTGGAGTTCCAAAAAAAGCAAGCGTTTTTGCTCATGCGTGTGCCTTTAACTTCATTACACCATCTTTCTCTTTTTTTCCCAGTTGCTGGTTTTCTTGTCTCTCTCCTATACGCACTCGCCTCTCCCCATCCCCTGCCCTCCCAGGCTGAGGTCTGCGTGCCCTCATCCTTTCCAGGGCCCCGAGCTGGAGTCCTGGGTGTGGAGCCCAGGGTTCGAGCAGGGAGTCAGTGAGATGTCCAGAACAAGCAGGGCTGAATTAGGTACCAGGGGCTCTGCACCGAAGGGGCCACAAACAAAGTGTGGTACATACACACAATGGAAAACTGTTCAGCCTTAACAGTAGGGAAATTCTGCCTTCCTTATTCCATCTACAACATGGATGAACTTTGAGAACGCTTTGTAAGTGAAAGAAGCTTGTCACAAAAAGACAAATACTATATAATCCCATTTATATAAGGTATCTAGAATAGTCAAATTCATAGAGACAGAAGTAGAATGGTGGTTGCTAGGGGCTTAGGGAGGGAGGAATGAGGAGAACTGTACACTTAAAAATAATTAAGAGGAAATTTTTATATTATGTGTGTTTTACCACAATTTTTTTAAAAAGAAAAGCAACAGCAGCAAAGACCATTTGAGGAGCCCCTGGCACCCCCAGAACTCCTGGTGTCCCTCTTCCTGCTTGCCACCTGGAGGTGAGATAAGGTGGAGAGTAAGCCTCAGAAGGAAACGAAACTCTTGATAACTCCTCAAACTGCAGGCCCTTCCAGAGCCCCCTGCGCATGCGTCTGACCCTCATACTTCTGGATCCACAGGAAGCCCTTGTCTCCCAGCTCCCAGATACTACTCATTTTTCTGAAGAATACACATGAGCCCCCAGGTGACATTGGAGTTCCATGCATGTGCACACACACACACACACACAAACACACCTCAATTAATTGGTTTAAAAAAAGTAAAAACTCAGAAACTGGTCAGGATCAGGGAACGCGGCCCAGGCTTGCCAGAGCTGTTTATTTACAGGCAGGGCCACAGGCCCATGAGGACCTCAGCTGTGATGAGTCCAGGACTTCAGCTCCAGCTCAGTCACTCTGGGCCTCTCGCTAACTCACCCCAGGAGGGTTAGGTCCAAGGACCAGGCACCTGAAAGAAAGGGCTAGATGGAAAGGGCATCTCACCCTCCACACCTAGCCCCTTATCACAGACCCCAAGGCCCTATCAGGATGGCGCCAAGCCCAGGGGAGCACAGGGGAGGGAGTGAGAGGAACAGGGACAAGAGCACAGGCCGGGGACACTCTCTTCCACCTGTGATCAGGCTTTCTCACCGGAAGGAGCCTGTACAAGAGGCCCCAGGCCTGAGGGAGGGGATGGCCTGGCCTTGAGAGATCCCGGGAGAAGCAGGAGGACATGACCGATGAGGGTGAAAACAGGGCACGAGGACCAGGGAGGGCAGAAGGCCAGGCAGGAAGGGGATGGGGGGAGGAGTGGAGAGGAAACGATGGGGGCTGGGCCGCTCCTCGTCATGACCCCTGTGGTTTCCTCTTCAGGGGTCAGGGCTGGGACCGAAGAGCTCTGGGGCATGTGGTGTTGTTCCAAAGCCCCTGTGTGGCCCCAGAAAGAGCCAAGATACAGAGGCTATACTCACGCTGGAGGGGTCTGCTTCACCCGGACATGATGTGCTTGACAAATGCTGGGAAAAAGGACAGAAATCAGCCACTGCACTTGGCCCATCTCAGCTCTTTATTGCCCTCTTGGCACCTTAAACCTCTTCGCTCTCTCTCTTCTGTTTGACTTTAAACTTCTCCACTACGAATTCTTTCTCTTATCTGGGGGTTGTTATGAGAAGGTGGGAGAGGGAAGAGACCTCACCTCTCTTCCTTGTCCACTCTGTGCCGACACAAAACATAGATGAAATGAGCTACATTACCCCTACTAATCCCCACAACCTTGAGAAAAGTGCCTGCTCACCCCATTCTCAGATGAGAAAACTAGGCTCAGAGAAGATAAGTGACTTGATCAAGATCACGCAGCTAGTGTATCTCCAAAATCTCCAAGATCCATGCTCTTATTACACCAGGATGGAAAAGAAGCACACCAAAGCCCATCTGGTGCCCGTGTCCTCTATCTCCTGGTGCTGTTCTGCTCTGCAGACCCACCCAGCCTAATATGTGCCCACCCTCTCATCCCTGGGTACCCAGGGAAATGAAGCATGACCTGATACCTTCATAATTGATGCAGCCATTGGCATCCTCTTGCCCAGCTAACAGTTGCTCCACTTCTGCCTCAGTCAGCTTCTCTCCTGGGGTGGGAGGCAGTGGGCTTTTAATTACAGATGACAAAGGAGGGGCAGGCAAAACCCAAGCACTGCCTCAAGTCTGAAGGCCCAAGACTCCCTGATCTGAGAAGTGGTCATCCCAGTCCTCCCCTAAAGGCACTGGAGACTGGAGCCAAGGGTCTTAAGACGCTTCCTAGCCCCTGAGGCCTCTCCCGCTGCCTACAGCCACCACAAGGTGAGCAGAGCAAGACCCCAGTGACCGAGGCAAAGACAAGGAAAGGAACCCTCGGTCCCACCTCTCAGGCCTCAGCAGTCACCCCTGCTCTACCGACCTCCTCTTTTGTTCTCCCAAACCTTGATGAGCAAACCCAGATGGGGCAGGTATTTCCTGCAGAGCCCAAGGCGACATGGCTGGATCAGGATGTGATCTTCAAGATGCAGGGACCCCATGTACTCCAACATCTGCCACCTGGGCACCTCCCACCCTTCTGTTCTGCCCACTTGGGCTCCACCTCTGCCCAGCTGGCATACCCAGAGTGGCAAGGACATGGCGAAGCTCAGCACCCATGACTGTGCCGTTGCTCTCCTTGTCAAAAACACGCAGCCCCTCCACAAAGTCCTCGTAGGTGCCCTGCTCCTTGTTACGCGAGATGTGTTGCAGGATGGGCAGGAACGTCTCAAAGTCCAACATCTTGGCATTCATCTCTTTAGGTGGCACAGGGAAGGAAAAAGTGACGTGAGCATAAACGCAAGGGAAGCAGAGGGTCAGCAGGGGGCCTCACCCCAGCTCTGCCTGGCAGGACCTGTCCCTGGCAGCTCCCAGGGCTCAGCTGCAGCCACTTCTGGGTGGGGCACCCAGTCAGTGATCCTGGAAGGCACAGAGCCCATGGGAGCAAGGCAGGAGGCTGGCTCTGGGGCTCTCTACTCAGTGAAAGGACTAGGGCAGATGGGAAAAGGAACTGTGACTCCACCCAGCCCTCTGAGCTCCAGGTGGCCAGGCAGGCAGGAGAGCTAAGGGTGGCAGCAGCAGGGGCTGAAGGGCCCAAAGGACTGTATAGCCCAGGCCACACATTCACAACTTAGACTTTTGACGTGCGACAGACATACAGTCTCAGAAGTGAACTGATAGGATTGCAAAAAGAAAATTTTACATAACTCTGCATTTGGGTCCGATTACTAAACCACACTGCCCAGAGCTACTCTGAATCAATAATTTTTATCAATTTGCAGATCTTTTGTGACTAGCATACTTCTCCCACACTGCAGTATGTTAAATGCTTCAATTTAACAGATGTAAACCATTGTTAAATACCACAAATTCTGACATTTCTTTCTTTTATTACAATCAGGAACTCCTCAAAATGGAAGTGCCCAGATATCTTTGCAGGGCAAGCTCCTGGTCCTCTGGCCCCCTCCGGCCCACATCCTTTACCAGACATTGGTGTCTTCAGTAGCAAGAGGAGGAAGGGAAGTGGCCAGAACCAAGGAAAGGGGAGAGGGCCTGTATGGGGCCCAGACAGCCTCCAGAGATGGCCCACCCTTGATGGGGGCTCCTGTCCAGGTCTGCCTGGTCCCACCGAGGGCCTACAGTTCTGAGGAGAAGGATGTGTGTTATGGCAGTTCTCAACTTCACTGCCTCACACGACAGATGGCATTCACCAATGGGACACACTCTCTTACGCCACTTTGTAAACTCTCATTCATCTAATGCAAACGAGTGAAAGAGCATCATTATAGAGCTAATCTTGAATCTGCTCTAGTTTATTTTTGCAATCTTCGATGTTCTAACCATTACCAGGAACAAATGATTTGCGCTGCAACTCACATGATCATAGTGCATCTCAGTGCTGGGCACCTTGACTAAGAGCTACTGGGTGAGGAAACGGGTGGGAATGTGGAGTTGGTTATCAGGATTCCCACCAAGCAGCCCTGCCCCAGTGCCCCTGGCACCCTTGGGTGTCAGAGGAAGACAGAATGTCGCTCCTTTCCTTTAGGAGCGACAGGCCACATTCTTCGAGGGTTAGCTAAGTGCCGGTGCTTCGGGATAAATTCTCAAAATAGGAGGCAGGTTACCTGGGGAGGGAAGGCTGATCTTGCAGGGCTGAAGGGAGAGAAGGGAGAGAGCGGCGGATGGGAGGTAGATTTGGGCGAGAGCCCCGGGGGCGACAGGAGACACCGAGAGGCTGAGCCCAGGCCGGTGCTGACCTTCTGGCTTGGGCTTGCCCAGGACGCGCAGCACCTCGGCGTTGGTGGGGTTCTGGCCCAGCGCCCGCAGCACGTCCCCGCACTGCGCATACGTGATCTTCATCTCTCCAGTCGAGGTCCGGTCAAATAGTGAAAAGGCCTCCTTGAACTCTGCGGAGAGAAGGCCCGGCTGCAGCCCCTGAGCCAAGTGAAGGCTGTGGCGGGAGGCTGATCAGCCTGTCCGTCCGCACTGAAGAGCAGGTCAATGAGGTTGATAACATAGTTCAGTTTTTCCCTTCAGACATCGTCCCAACCTCTCCCTGGAGCCCACCGCCATCCTGCTTTCTGACAACTAAAGAAGGAGCCTGGCGCCTCCGTGCCCTGTTCCAGCGCTGGGCCCGTGAGCTCTTCTATCAGTCGGTTGTCACATAATTCGAATGTCTCCCCTGCCTCCACCTCCCACCCACCCTGGTGTAGGTGGGGTTCCCGACTGTTGAAAATAGCAGGGAAGTGAAAATAGCCCTGGTTCAGGAGTCAGGCTTCCTGGGTTGCCTCGTGTTGGTTTTGCAGAGAAACACAGGAGAAGCCGGCGGTGTCTCGGGTTTCTTGTGCATCGCGGGACCGAGCCCCACC